CTTTGTGGTGAAAAACGTCCAACGAGCTAGTTGAATTTTAGGTAAGGCTGTTATATTACATCATGGTACAATTATAAAAGGTAACAGCAAATCCCAGCTGATTTCATTCCAACGTAATACTAGTGTCAATATGAATTTGACAAATTATGTTTTTAAAAATCACCCAACAGGAAAATTGGGAACGCATACAATTTGAAATTGTTCTTTATTAATGTGCTCCGTATTCAATTTACTCAATCTGCCTGCTGGGAAAGTTTGAGGAAGCAAGCCTTTCTTGAAGGAATAACTCGCTATTCCCAGCATTGTCATATGTGTAACCCATATATATGGCAATGGCTCAATTAAAGGAAAGATGTGGAAGCGATAGAAATATAAATTTGATAGATTTTCATTCATGTTTTTCAATTTTTATTTTGAGGATTCGAAAATATTTCATTTTCAAAATAAAAATAATTTGATGATAATTTGTTTGTTTACATTTTTCTGTCAAATGAGTAGACACTAGTAGAACTTACAACAACAAATTTCCATGTGGTTGTTGTATCGTTTTTTGTACAACAACACTTTCTGTTACCTTTTATTATTATACCATGTTATATTACATTAATTTTTCAGAAAATATTGGTCTGTTCCCGTACTGCAACAATTTACCAGTTTTTACTATTTTTTTCAATAGCACAAAGTTGTGGATTCTAGCTGTACGGGAACAGGCCATATATAACATTTTTTGAATTATGTCGACTAAATTCAAATAAAATGTTTAATAGTGTTGGTGGGTTTATTTGGGATACCATTTGTATTTAGTGTTTGCAAAATAGTCAGGCTGGATCCCAGTTTGTTGTTTTTATAAAAAAACAACTATTTATTAGTGGGGAATACATGGCATTGTTCGCCGAGGGGTAAGGCAGGGAAGACTATAGTTTCGGATTTCGCCACTGATCCTCATCAGTTCACTTAGTTTTTTGTTGGGATGTTCTCCCCAGAAGCTATTTATTTCTTCTATACAAAAAAACTTTTATACCCAAATGTCTCTTGTGACAAACTCGAAGTTCTTACGTTACCAGCGATACGACCCCAATGAGAAGTTCGATTCGTTGGCGCCTGACTTCGTGGTCAACAAGGCATTTGCAGACAACTACAATACATTTGCCACTGCTATGTGTCGTCACTTTGTGACGAATGCACATAACGTTGTTGTAGGTATTGCTAGTTAAAGCAATAAACCAAACAGTATGACCGTGCCTGCGTCTACAACTTCAGTAGTGTTGGCGGGTTTATTTGGGATACCATTTGTATTTTCTGTTTGCAAAAAAGTCAGGCTGAATCCCAGTTTGTTATTTTATAAAAAAAAACTAATATTTATTAGTGGGAATGTATGGCATTGTCCGCCGAGGGGTAAGGCAGGGAAGAAGCTATTTATTACTTCTATACAAAAAACCTTTCATACCCAAATGTCTCTTGTGACAATTCGGCCTTCGATCTAAAGTAAATTAGAAACCTACAAACGTCCATTATGTATGTATAATCCATAATTTGTCTGCATCTACCTTAAATAATGCTGAAATTTTGAAGCTCGATTTTGTGTTTTTTTTATTTTTTTTTCTATTTTCAATTCGCAATGTCCATCCAAAGATTAACATTTTGTGCGATCCCATTTCTAAAAAAACTATTTTCCTTCGAAATATTTTTACCTGTCATTTGATTCATATGCGTACCCGCGGTCAGTAAACTTTTTTACGTTCCGGATAAAATAAAATCTTCTTCATGGAAATCCATGCATTTTAGGATGCGTGTTAGGGGGTTTTAAGAATTATTCGCGATTTATTAGTTTTTGTGCATTTAAATGCAACGTGTACTACATGGATTGAAAGATAATTTTTAATACTTTCTGGAAACCGCATGCGCATCAAATGACTTTGAGGACTACGTGATATAGACGCAATTTACTAGGTGGCATCTCTACTACTTCAAAACTATGATTAGTAAAAACATATGCTTAAGTAAAAACTTCGAGAAAGCGTAATTTGTATTTGACATTGGATTTTTTTAAATCATTAGTAGTTCCAATTATATGTGATTACTGTAATTGAACAAACTATTCAATTAAGCGGGTTCGGATAATTGATTGCTCGGTTAATTGAACGAAAATTTGTGCAAATTTTGATGTGAAATTAACCGAAAAATACTGTACATGTCCAATTTCAAATTCAGTTTTTTTCAGAGATTCCAGCTATAAAATTATCAAAGTGTATTTAATAAGGTGTAAGTGACAATTGCCCTTAATTGATTTCAAAAATTGCCCTTAAATTTAGTCTTTTTTAATAATAACCAGTAAGGAAAGTAGTAAAGTCGGACGGGGCCGACTATATGTTTATTTTTATCAAAAACTGATTGTCAGCATGACAATTTAATTTCTATAACAACAATGTTGTTTTTGTAAAATATTTGTTGTTGTATCTGATGCATACACCTTATTAAATACACCTTGAAAATTATAATAAATATGATGACATTATTTGTTCGAAACAAAAAAAATCAAATAATTTTCCTCAATACATTGATTTGTTGTTGCTGTAATTTACAAATAATGAAAATAATGATGCAATCTCCTATATTTTCATTATTTTTCTCATGTTTCGCGATTGTTATAAGTTTCATATTTCATGAACGTTTTTGGTCAACGTCCAAAATAAAATCTCCATAATGATCCCAAACGGATTCGGAGTCAGGACATTTTTCCCAATATATGTAGCAAAAATCGTTGATGTAGCACTAAAAAAAAAATATTATTAAAATATTGGCAATATTGTATATATACAGTGGTGGTCACGTAATTGAAACATTTCATTGGAAGTATTTTTTAAAGTTTTTAATACAGAAAGTAGGAGGATTTGATACCCCATTGGAATTTGAAAATTCAATTAGAACGAATCACAATGAGGATCTCAAATATTATAAAGTATTAAAGAAATGTCAGGTACCGGTGTATGGACCCAAAACATAGGGAGCTATGGGTTAATTTTTAAACAATATTTACCGTACAAATTTCCTTTATTTTACTAATTAAAGACAGAAGGCTGCGTGTTCATCTGCTTCTTAATCTGAATATTGTTATTCTTTAGAAATACATCCACCCAACTCTTGTTGTGAATGTGTCACCTACTATTTGTAACACTGAATATTTACATATGAGAGTCTTACATTCTATTTCGTATGCTATTTGATTATTCACTGTTAATTGAAAGTGTCCAATTTATTTGTAGTTTTTTTTCTTTTCATTGCAAATATAATCTTGACAACCGATCCAACACGTAAATCATGCACGAATAGTTAAACCGGTTCTTGGAGCTAATCCAACATGTTCATGTATGACGGCGGTTCTTTGCGGCAATAGAGTAGCAGAGCACGTGTTTCCATTTCTTGTGTGCGATCATTTTGGAAAACAACCTCATCATTTGTACCTCTAACAGAAATTCAAATTATGTGAACACTGAGTAGAGGGTGTCGAATCACACCCATGAGAAGAAAAGACTAACCAGTAAGAAAATGTTCGAAGATTTATATCACAATCGGAAGAGGAATGCACCAAAAAAGTTCATACATACATATATTATGTGTGTTGGTACATAGGAATGGTAATATATCATGAAAAAAAGAGTTGAATAATGCCATCTAGTCAAGAGGGGAATAAAAACTAAATGAATAAATTATTTTCTTTGTAGGAAATGCATTGCCATACTTGTGAAGATTGTGTCATTGGTGCATAAATAGGAATTTGGAGTGTTAATGTGTTTGGTGATTTAAATAACTTGTCGCAGTTTAGTGGGGAGATTGTTTAGAATGAAGTATTTATAGTCTACCGAAAATATGTAATTAGATTATCTTCAATATAGGATGTGAATCATTCATCATATTCTATACCATATAATAAACATTTTTATAGGGATTCAGTTTGTATATATGTAGAGAGAGACAGAGACTATTTATCAGACTCCATTAAAATTATTCATCCTACTAAAAAGTATCAATATTGGGCTAATTTTTTGAGATTATAGGTAAAATTTATTTTGAAAATTGCGCGTTTGGAAACGGTTTCTGTATAGTTCCACTTTTTTATATGTTTTATATTGTTATTATTCATTACATCGAAAGTTGTATATTGTCAGTGTAGCTAACGCTTTTCACATGTTATCTCTTGTCGTTTTGACGGGGTTATTAATTAGTCTTGTGTCGTTCGTGAACGACCTAGTTCAATTGAAGGAGTCAGTCCACTGAACAACATAGTTCAGTTTTTATACCCTTCACCACACTGTGGTACAGGGTATTATGTCTTTGTGCATATGTTTGTAACAGGCAAAAGGAAACGAGATAGACACATGGTTCCTTTTGAGAATATGCACAGTGTTCAATCCAGAAGCGTTTTTCTGGAGTAGCATAAACTTAATTTTAAACTTAAAAAATCAACTTTTATGCTGAGGGTTCTTCCCAGTGTAAATGTAAAAAACCACCAAATATCAAGACCGGCAAAATCAAAAAATGCGCACAGCTCCAACTCTTTTTCGAATGTGTTCTTTATTATTTCTAAAAACTGGACAAATTTAACAAATAACAAAAGTGAGAAGAAGAATACAAAAATGCATCGACAGACACACATGCAGATCGGTACCTCTACTTGAGTGCATTCTGCAATAATGTATAATTGAGTGAAATATATATGCTGTTTGTATTTCTAACTATCATTAGAAAGAACAGCAAACAACTCATTGCAAATATTCGTTTTCGATTATTTACTTAGCTATGCTTACGGCCAACGAAAGCAGAGAAAGAAATATTAACAAACGCGAAAAAAGATACAGTGGACACCGATCAACATGCAACAATGTAAATAGTAATAATTTTGACGATTTTAATAATTACAATTGATAAATTAAGTATAAATTACATGAATTGACAATAAATATGCGTTGACCTAACATACCGGCCCCATTGAAAGGACACTTTCAATTTAAGAGCATGGCTAATTTATGAATAGGTCGACGAATAATTCCTTTCTTGGTTTTTACTTCGGCAACTCGTATTCGTCCATCTCCTCCACTTATAGTTTCAATAATTCTACCCATTAGCCACTTCTGAGGAGGAACATTGTCTTCGTGTACCAGCACTAAGGTATTCACAGCAACATTTGGGTTGGAAGACGTCCACTTGTTTCTCACTTGAAGCTCATTGATATATTCATGAGACCATTTCTTCCAAAAGTGCTGTTTTATCTTAGTAATTTGGGCCCAGTGATCAAGATTATTTACGTTTTTGGACGAGAGGTCAAGCTCTGGAAGAGATCGCATCGAACAACCTATAATAAAATGGCCTGGTGTGAGGGCCTCTAAATCGCTCGGATCCGACGACATTGGCGATATAGGTCTCGAATTTAAAATAGCTTCTATCTCAGTTAAGGCAGTGGCGAGTTCTTCGTAGGTCAAGCGAGTATTTGTGAATGTACGAGTTAGATGACCCTTAGCAGATTTAACAGCTGCCTCCCAAAGACCACCAAAGTGGGGTGCTCTGGGAGGAATAAAATTGAAATTTATGAACTCATTGGCGCAGAAATTAGTTATGTGGTTTTTGTTATCTTCATCAAACAAAAACCTTTTCAAATCTTTGAGTTTTGTGTTCGCACCCACAAAGTTTGTGCCATTGTCGCAGAAAATATCTGTTGGCAAACCTCTTCTACCTATCATCCTTTTTAGAGCGCCAATAAAGGAATCGGTGGATAAATCCGACACAGCTTCGATATGAACAGCCTTTGTTGCTAGGCAGACAAACACCGCTACATACGTTTTGTATGGCACCTTTCCTCTGATTCTTAAATACGTGTTTATGGGACCACAGAAATCTACAGCACATCTGGCGAAAACTCGAGAGGGATTGAGACGATCAGCTGGTAAATTTGACATCATTTGTTGTAATAGTTTTGGACGATAACGTATGCAGTGTGGACAGCGATTCACAATAGTACGACAAAGATTTCGTAAATTTATTACCCAAAAACGCATTCTGACAAGAGAGACTAATGCCTTCGGACCGGCATGGTAATTTTTAATGTGAAGATATTGAATGTAACATTTAACAAAGTTGTTTTCCTTCGGCATAATCATGGGGTGTTTTTGAGTTTCAGGAACATGGGCAAGTTCGAGACGACCACCAACTTTCAAAATTGCAATTCCACTCGAATCGTCTATAAATGGATTAAGGCCCTTAAGTGGGCCCTGTGGATCCCTTTTCTTGACTGCGCGTTTTATGTCATCTTTGAAATATTGTTGTTGTACGTTCCAAACTACAGCTAACAGAGCGTATTCTAGTTCTTGGGGTTGTAAGCAATCAGAATTTAAAAACATTGATTTTGGAGAAGATAAGGAATGCCAAAAACGAAATATCCATGCAACAACTCTAATTATCCTTATGTACGAACTGCAGCCCTCGATAAATTTGCTTATACTATTAGGTTGTATCTCCAAAAGAAGTGTAGTTTTCCGTTTTTCTTTATTAACTTCTTCGGGATTTATTTCATTACATTTGTTCATTGGCCACTTATCTTCATTTTGTTTGAGAAAGTTTGGACCACCAAACCAAATCGACGACGTCAAATCCAATACAGTTGATCCTCTAGATACAATATCTGCGGGATTTAAATGAGAAGGCACATGCCTCCATACGCAGCCGTTCGTAGATTCTTGTATTTCCGAAATTCTGTTTCCAACAAAAACTGAAAGGGTGGAAGAGTGTTGTTTCAGCCAGTGCAAAACTATTTGGGAGTCAGTCCACAGATACACTGAAGTCCTTGGTATGCTTTGAATATGTTGTATTTTGTTGTATAGTCTGGATAGTAAGTGAGCCCCACATAGTTCTAAACATGGTAATGATTTTCGCTTTGTTGGAGCGACCTTCGACTTCGCTGTAAATAGTTGTGTGGAAACCGTACCAGATCGTGATAGAACTCGGATGTAAATGCAACAACCATAAGCTCGAATAGATGAATCGCAGAAGCCATGTAATTGTATTGATGCTGGATTTGGTGACAAACAATAACGAGGAATGTTAAGTAAATGTAAGTTTTGCAGATCATCGAGGAAACCTAGCCAAGCAGTATGAATCTCTTGTGGAACAGATTCATCCCATCCAATTTTTATTATCCAAAGCTCTTGTAGAATGATTTTCGCCTTTATAATCAAAGGTGACACAAGTCCAAGTGGATCAAAGAGTGTGGATGACAACGATAGAATGGAGCGTTTGGAAACTATATCCGTTTTCTGCTTTGGGGAGAATGAAAACAAAAACTGATCCTTCTGTTGATCCCAAGAGATTCCTAAAGCATTCGTGACTATTGAGTCATATATGTTTAAATCTTTTACCGAATTATCGTGACGAAAATTTTCGTGATTCGAATGCCATTTGTCTAGCTCGAAACACCCAATTTTAAGCAGTTCTGTTACTTGGTGTTTAAGCTCGGTTAACTCTGCAATAGTTTCAGCACCTCCTAGGAAATCATCAACATAAAATGAATTTTTTAAAGCATTTGCACCAATCTCAAATCGTTCAGAGTATTCATCGGCAAGATAATGTAGAGCACGAACTGCAAGAAATGGTGCTGCTGAAGTGCCGTATGTTACGGTATTTAACCGATATGTTTTAATTTCTTCTTCGTCCGAATATCGCCAAAAAATATATTGAAACTTACGGTCTTCTGTGCTGATCAAGACTTGCCTGTACATTTTTACAATGTCTGCGGTTAAAGCGAAACGATGAAGTCGGAAGCGCAGTAGCAGCAGGAAAAGCTCCTCTTGTATTGTGGGACCAACCATTAAAATTTCGTTGAGTGATTTCTCAGAAGATGTAGCACATGAGGCATCAAACACCACTCGAAGCTTTGTTGATGTGCTATTAGGTTTGAGCACACAGTGGTGGGGAATATAGTAATGAGGTTCATCCAATTTTAAATTTTTAACAAGAGTCATATGCCCAAAATTCTCATATTCTCTCATAAAACTTACATACTCGGATTTAAGCTCCGGGTTATTTGCTAGCCGTCGTTCTTGAGCAGAAAAGCGTCGAAGAGCTGTATTGCGAGATTGTCCAAGGGATGAAGGAGATTCCTTGAAAGGTAGTTTAACAACAATTCTACCACATGATTCACGAGTTACATTGTTTATAAAAAATTTATCACATTCAATTTGTTCCAATGACATTTTTTTGTTATTTTTCTCCAGTTCTTCGATTTTCCAAAGTCGTTCCAAGTTCAAATTAATTGTTTCCTCAGTTGACACTAGGTAAGATTTGCCGATGCTGTTAGGTCTTGATGAGTTGTACCTCCCAGTCACTATCCAACCCAGTAATGTCTTTTGTAACTTCGGAAGATCTGGACCAAGTCTAATTTGACCAACAGACAGTATATCGAAGAACGTTTCTGTGCCAATCAACAAGTCAATTTTATTTGAATTGTAAAATTTTTCATCAGCCAAGAGGGTATTGGAAGGTAGATTCCAAGATGAAACATCAAGCTCCGAATCAGGTTGGTACGAAATGTGTGGTGTAATACAAAATGAAAGTTGGGCTTCAAAATCGGTTACCCGAGATTTTATATTCGTTAAACAGTTCTGTTTAACCCTTGTATTAGCATTGCCAATGCCAGAAACTTCAACACATTTTTTATTTCTTGGCAAAGATAGACGCTGAGCGAATTCATCAGTTATAAAATTTATTTGTGAGCAAGAGTCTAACAGAGCCCTTCCCAATTTGTAAGTACCAAAATTGTCGCGAACAAGAACCATGGACGTAGCAAGGAGGACCTGATGCGAAGCGTTATCCATATGTGTGTGCACTGTAGCAACTATATCATTATCCACAGCAGCAGAAGTTGATGGTGCAGTCGATGACTGTCTTGGAGCCATTTCAGAACGATGGAGCATGGTATGATGAGATCGATAACAATGTCTGCATTTGAAAGTTGATGGACAGTTTGTGACTTGGTGACCTTTGGCGAGGCAATTAATGCAAAGACCAAGCTTCTTTACATTTTCAAAACGAACACCAACATTCAAATCTTTAAATTGTTGGCATTGTGTAATGGAATGGTCAGCTTGAGAGCAGTACGAACAACTTCGTTTAGAGCATGAAAAGGAATGTCCATGTTTGTATGGTTTTGGAATGTATTTCTTAGAAATGTGATCCTGGCGACGCGATACATTGATGTCTAAAGACTCTAAATATTGGCATCTTCTCTCTAGAATTTTGGAACAACTGTCCCATGTAGGAAGTTCACTGAAGTCCAACGAATCCTTCCACTTCTTTTTGGTGTCCACATCAACCTTTTCCATTACAATATGTATTAACATAGCATTTACGATGTCATTTTGTGAACCAAGAGACTGAAGTGAACTGTAAATTGCAGACACGTTATCTACTAGGCTTCTTAATTGATCCGAATTTGATTTTGAAACCTCAGGCAAATCGAAAAGTGATGTGATATTTTCCAGGAATATTAAGGTACTGTTGTCGTACCGAGCCTTCAGTCTCTCTAAAGCCTTTGGATAGTTTTCATTGGTAACTTGAAATGCCTTTACAGTTTCTAATGCATGGCCTTGAAGACAATTTAACAAATGATTGAACTTCTCAATGTTTGATAAACCATGTTCACGATCGATTATTTGCTTGAAAGATGTAATAAAATTTTTGTAGTCACTGTATTTACCATTAAATGTGGGTAGTTTTAAGCGAGGAAGTTTGTTTGTGGGAACAGATACAGCAAATGACGAGTCGGTAAAGGTTGTATTATGTCCATCTTCAGAAAGTTGTTGTTGAATTTGGGAATTGATGTAGCAGTAGGAGTCTTCAATATCTGCACGACCATTATCTTCTGCATCCAAATTTTCAATTTTACTTTGAATAGATAAGACTTGTTTGAAGTATGACTCCAGAATTCCAAGACGACACTTCAAATCTGCAGAAGATAGGGGTTTTTCTCCCTTGACACTGGCATCAATTACAGTTTTTATCCGAGAAATATTTTTCTTGATAATGGTGCGCTGTTGTTTTAGTTCCTCCAAAGTCATGGTTAACAACGATAAACGACAATGTTGCGATAACTAATGGTTTGTACGAAAAGCGCGTCAAATCAGTGGTTTAACAACGAACGATAGATTTACACTGTCCTGTCACGGTCGCCAATGTTCAATCCAGAAGCGTTTTTCTGGAGTAGCATAAACTTAATTTTAAACTTAAAAAATCAACTTTTATGCTGAGGGTTCTTCCCAGTGTAAATGTAAAAAACCACCAAATATCAAGACCGGCAAAATCAAAAAATGCGCACAGCTCCAACTCTTTTTCGAATGTGTTCTTTATTATTTCTAAAAACTGGACAAATTTAACAAATAACAAAAGTGAGAAGAAGAATACAAAAATGCATCGACAGACACACATGCAGATCGGTACCTCTACTTGAGTGCATTCTGCAATAATGTATAATTGAGTGAAATATATATGCTGTTTGTATTTCTAACTATCATTAGAAAGAACAGCAAACAACTCATTGCAAATATTCGTTTTCGATTATTTACTTAGCTATGCTTACGGCCAACGAAAGCAGAGAAAGAATTAACAAACGCGAAAAAAGATAACAAACGCGAAAAAAGATACAGTGGACACCGATCAACATGCAACAATGTAAATAGTAATAATTTTGACGATTTTAATAATTACAATTGATAAATTAAGTATAAATTACATGAATTGATGACAATAAATATGCGTTGACCTAACCCATCGACCACCACCCATTAAAAAGGTGGAGAAAAAAAAAATAGGAAAGTCCTTCAAATGAATTTGAAAGAACTTAATAGGAATACGTTGCCATGCCAATTGAACTGAGTAATCATTTGAACGATCACTGAACTGAACTAGATTGCCCAGGACTAGTTTTAATGAGTTGTTTTGGTCAACAATTCGCACCAAGCAAATCCTGAACCCACTCTAATATATAAATGTCTGTGTACTTATATACATATATTTACACGTGTATAAATTTGGATAATTTTATGTATACCTCCATGATCTGGCCTTGCATGATTGTTTGCTCACTCACAGATCCAATCATTCGCTTGAAGGCTTTCAACTTTGTTTTAGGTTGCTTGGTCAACAGGAATGACTTGGTGTGTGTGTGTCGGCAATCTGTCCTTCCTTTTTTGTTTATGAAAACCAAAAACAAAAGAAGAAAAAACGGAATCACGATAACAAACGAACACTATTGCGAACATCGAACCTTTTTGGCCAAGCCTTGATCTTGACCTTTTGCGTTATAATGAACACACCCACATGCTCAGTTGTCCGAGTTGAAATAATGCACGAATGTCAGAAACATAATTGGAGGGGATAATTTGGTATGGGCCTCTTTCGCTTTAGGATACCGGGGGCTAAGTGCGTTTTGTTATTCCACTTAATGATTGTAATGAATATCTTTGCGGTAATATATTACAGGAGAATGTAACAGAATGTATTACAGTATTTTTCGGTTAATTGAACCTGCGGTTAATTGGTTTCCACGTTTAATTGAACCACATGATGGGGCAACAAATATTTCATAGGAAAATACATGTAAATTTTCTCGGATAATTAAACCCTGTTAATTGATTTTCCCGCTTAATTGTTTCAAAATTCATGCAATCAAAAATAAATTTCCTTTCATTTTTCACCGGTTAATTGCATAATAATAATTGAAAAATAATCTGCCATTTTTTTACATACATATTTGAGATAATTTGTGAAAAAGACTAGGTGGCATCTCTACTAATTCAAAACATATGTTTATTGCTAAGGAAAAACTGCGAGAAAGCGTAATTTGTATTTGACATTGGATTTTTTTTAAATCATTAGTAGTTCCAATTATACGTGATTACTGTAATTGAACAAACTATTCAATTAAGCGGGTTCGGATAATTGGTTCCTCGGTTAATTGAACAAAAATTTGTGCAAATTTTGATGTGCAATTAACCGAAAAATACTGTATATAAATTATATATATTCTGAATACATACAAAATGTGTTTTTGAGTTGTATTTAATATAATTAAGAATTAATTATTTTTTTGCATAAATTGTTGGGGAGCCTGTAATTTGTAAGGCCTACATTCGTCCAATTCTGTCATACATAAAATATTTTTCGTCGGTTTTCCTGATGTTCATAAAAAGTAAGAAAGAAAAGTAATATTTTTTGTGAAACATGACAGAGAAGTATATCATTGCATAAGCCTATGGTTACAATGTTATTAGCTTGCCATAGATTTTCTGGAATATATACATGCATATGTATATATGCATTTACACATAATAAAATAGTAATATTCACATGCAATCTTTAAATGAATCTTTAAAAAGTCGTACGGTCCATCATATTGGAGGATTAGTCGACAGCTGTACAATGACCGTCAGCAACAGCTGAAAAAAACGGAATGTCCTGGCATATACTGACAACACTTTTCGCAATATCGTTGACGCCCCCGCAACAGGAATTGGAAGCAATGGACTTTTGGTGGATTGGGCCCTATATTCGGTGTCTTCCTAACTGCATCAATACACAAATTATTGAAAAAAATTACTGATGTTTAGATTAGAACAGTTAATTTTGGCAATCATGGATTCCGCCAGTGGGTTGAATGTATGATGCCAGAAGTACAATTCAAGGATCAGTTCTGTATTGTATACAGTCGAATACGGATAAGCGAACGCTGGTTTATCGAAAAAATCGGTTAATTGCAACTAAAAATTATAATTTTGAATGAATTTTCAAACACTTAACTTCGCTTAAAAGAAAATCCGGTTAATTGAAAATTCTTATAAGAGAAAGACTTTTTTTACAAAAAACGAAACGAGTACCGTTTAAGAGAAAAATATAATTTTTGTATGTGCATCTCTAAGATTATTGTGCACATTTTTCCAACAATTATAAGCAATATGTATACAGCAGCGTTGGAAAATAAACATTATGGTACCGTTCCATAGAGTTCTGTACCGACAGCGGTACGCTACAAAATCGTAGTGTACCGTACACTAAGAGATTACTTGCCGGAACACAAAAATCGGTACTGGTTTGAACAATACCAATCGTAGCGTTCCACTTGCTTGAACTGTACTGGTAATGTACCATACATGCATTTTTTTGTTTTTTTTGGGAAAAATTACATAAAAAAATAAAATATTGAATTGGTAATACAATTTTATTTGTAATTACAAATAACAAAAAGTCCATTAGAAACAGGTATTTTGACCAGTCTTTGTGACAACATTATACCGCTTTGGATAAAATGTTCATTAATTTACTAAACTAATGTGATTTTCCCATAATATTGGGAGATCTCCTTGTAAAATGTTAGTATGAAAAATGTTTTTCTTAAAGGGTAAAATGCAGGAATTATAAATAAAAAACTGTTATATAATAAACGTCAAAATTATACATGCATCCATCTATGATTCATACCTTGGTGACTGTTACACAACCAACATAATTATTACAATGAAGTGTACAAATTACGCGGATATTCGAAACAAATAGTTTTATGATTATGGGATAAATATTACAAAACCACATACAAGTACCAAATAAAATAATGATTTCATATATCCATTATTTGAATATTCTTCCTTTTTATGATTTTTGTACAAGTAGTCTTATGGAATACATTCTTTTCCGATCAGAGCAATCGATTATCAGCCAAAATGCAATCCAATGGAATTTTCAGTTATTTCAGTCAGATTGCAACATGCAAAAATAAACAAGATAGACATAGGTTTCCTTTTGAGAATATGCATGTACAGTTGATATTGGATATAAGAAACTTAAAAAAGTCGGAGATTTCTTTCTTTTATGCGTTTTTTTATATGGATGGATGTAAAAAGGCTCAGTGTTTTTGATAATCTTTCTTATGTCCGATTGTTTCTTATATGAGATGTGCTTATATCCGATATCTACTGTAAGTACTTTCTGAGTAGATTTTTGCATGTCCGCCCGTCTGTCTTCCCACGTTAAATTGTAAAATTTGACACAGCTCATTTATTTGGCCTTAGGACGATCACAATTTAAAATGGGGAAAATCGGTTCAGATTTAGATATATATAGTATATAGTTTCGTCCGATTTTTGGTAAATAGTCCACCAAAGACCCAGAGTTAAGCCGATTGGGACAAAATTGTCCACAACGTACTCCAGTTACTAACATAACTTGTGAAAAGTTTTGTTGAAATCTGTTCAGATTCGGATATATATTATCGTCTGATATTATGTTAATGATGCACCAAGGACCCAAAATATGACAGGTAGGAACAAAACATACTAACATTAGTATAACATATCAAGTTTAGTTGAAATCGATTCATATTTGGATATATTTTACATATATTTTAATCACCACCAAACTCCTCATGTTTGTCAAATTGACCTGCAACTTTGCACAACGTACAAAATTGAGCAGTGAATGACGTAGAAGTGCAGACATAGCTCAACGGATGTCCGACTGATTTTTGTTTGAAATTGATTGATCTAAGTTGGTTCACATTTAGATAAAGATAACATATTTTAGCTCATCCAATTTCATGTTAATTATCCTTCATAAATGCGATGTCTGTTAGGATGCATCTGTTTTATATACCCTTAGTGGTGAAGGGTATTATACAATCGGATAAATGGTATAAACTAACAACTTCGAGTACAGGATATCCCTCATACAGTGGTGGAATACGGATATATGGAGGCCACACCAAAACCCGGAACAAATCAGTTAACTATTTTATGGTGTTATATGGGGAGTACCCCTTAAAGGGGGTGAATAATAATATATTTTTTGTAGGGGAATTTGTTACCATATACGACTACAAAATACCAAATTTCAGTGAATTCGGTTGAAAAACGCGCTCAAGAACCACAAAATGCCGAAATTTGCGGGTACCCTTATATGGGGTCTACCAGAAAAAATGTACTTATATTTATAATTTTTAGTGGAGATATTTGATATCCAATAAAAACCCATGGGAGCTATGCCTAAACGTGGACCGACAAAGCCCATCTTC